TTAGTGAGGGGAAGCCTAGGCTGCTTATGTACAACAATGAATGAAGAGATGTCTGGTCATATCTGTCATATCATTTCCCTACTTAGAGACTCCCCCATTGTCTGCAGAAAATATCCAGATTTGTTAGCCTGGCCTTCAAAGTTCTCTACAGTCTGATGTCAACCTACCTTTCCACTTTGTCTTTTCTCTACTTCATGCACCCTATGCCCCAGACATAAGTTATTCAGAGTTCTCTTTATAAACCCTTTGGTGTCCTGCATCCATTCCCTTTCCTACAATCACTTCGTTTACGATGTCTTTCACCCATCTTCACACGTTTAAACCTCATCCATCCTTAAAGCCTACTTTACGTGACATCTCTCCAAGAAGTCTTCTTTGATTGTCTCAGATGGAAGTAGTTTCTCTAAGTTACAACAATTTATCTAGCTGTAGATAGGGTTGAGATCTGACTAATGTTTATACGCAGTACTAGCACTAATGCAGCATATTGTACACAGAAGGTGCTTAATAAACACATATTTAATAAATGAATCAAAGATGCTGAGCATCTTCTAATGTGAGAACAAATCTCAAAATCTGCCAGTACAAAGCAAACAGTGAACCAAACAGGATAAGAAGAAATGGTCCAAGGAAGAGGGTAGGGCAGCCAGAGACTGAGGCTCTAGAAATCTACAAGAGGGAGGGAATCGATATTTATTGAACACCTTCCGTGAGTCAAGGTCCAAGTTGTTTTTGTTGTTGTTAGTTGCCATTCGGTCGGCTCTGACTCATGGTGACCTTATGTATAACAGAACAAAACATTGCCTGGTCCTGTGCCACTTCATGATCATTGATATGTTTGAGTCCATTGTTAGGTGCTCTATATTCATTATTTCCAGAACAATCCTTTTAATAGGTATTATCATGCGCATGTTAAAGATAGGTTAACTCAGGCTCAGAGAAAGTTAAGTAACTCAGCCATACATCTAGGAAGTGTTGGGATGGGACAAGATTCAAACTCAAGTCTCTCTGACCACAAAGCCCAGGCTTTCTCCACATCTTCACTACACTGCTTTGCTCTGCAGACGTGGCATTTTATGTGTGTGCAGTGGGGGCGGGGCTGTAGGGGAAAACATTTCTTCTTGCATTGCTGGCCACTTTTGAGCTTTCTCTTGCTGACCAGGGGTGGCTTCTCTAAACAACCTTCACAACACTCACCAACAATATGATAAAAATAACTGCAGCAAGTTGGACATAGGTGTTCATGATGGTGATGGTGGTGTTATGATTTGTACCCACTGAACTACCTCTTCCATTGGATTTCTTAATGTGTCTTCATCTATACCATTGGAGCTATTTCATGCACCCCTAAGAGCCTTACAATGAGGGAGTCTTCAGTTAACCAAGCAACAACCATGTCTAGTTAA